TTGTGCCGTGAGGACTATGAAGGGATAGCCCATGCGAGTTTTTTTCCATACATATGATGACAGCCAATAATGCATTCATGTACGGCACCCAGACATGTCATGTCCAAGTTGTAGACAGGGGCTGGAACGGCAATACCTCTACAATTGCCGTCGGCATGCCTGTGTGGTGGTAGTGCATGGAAAATGAGTGAGGGCGATATGCAGAAAACCAAATTGCAATATCAAGCTGTAGACCAGATAGTTGTGTATCAAGCAGAAAGCACAATGCAGTTGAATGCACCGAAATAGCAGCCAAATAAGAGCAACACAATGAACTCAAATGCCAATGTCGACACTCTCTCGCCACACCAACATAGTATCCAATGTTGCTCTTCTTGATTGGCGCCCAGCGGCCAGCCTACTCTGCTCAACCTATACTAGCCTACACTATGTATATGCAACAGGAGTCACTTCAAGCTGAAGACCAATGTACATGATGCCACCGCCAATTCAGACTGCCAGCATACGCCAGGTACGTGCCTCGTCTCTGCCCTCCTCACCCCTGTCTCCCCCACAGCATGCGTCCTTGACACCCGAAGACCACCATCGCCAACACCAGCATGCGCCCCAGCAGCCCGGCTATGCCGCCGTGCGCCCACTGCCACCGCAGCACCCCTCTCACCTCTCAGTGCCCGCATGCTCCTCTGGCAAGCATTCAGATAGCCTCTGCGCTGAGTGCAGCAGCGTGGCCGCCCTCAAGTGCAAGGCCAGAATGTGCTCTGGCGTGTCTGCGCCCATGCCCTCTCAGACAGTTGCCTAGACCAGGCCCAACTGTGCGACGCGGCTGCTTGTTGCACACTGCATTCTCATTAGCCTTCGGGCCTTCAGCCACGCCGCTGCCTGATTCTAATTGGCTGAGTGGCCAGCCTCCACGTCTGGCTCAGAAGAGCCTAGAAGGCTCACGGAAGATTCCGGTGCTGGCGAGCAGGGCGTGCATAATCAACTGGTGTGTGGAAACTGTTTGGGGCCCAAGATGCAGAAATGACAAAAGTAGGGCCCCATACAGGCCCACTTTCACTTACGGCGGCCACATTGCTTGCTACGGGCCTCTTGGGCATCCGGAGACCTTCGCCAAGCGGCCAATGTGAGGGCTCGTTCCTCGCACTAGCATGTAGGTGCCACATAGCCTGTGACATCTGTCTATGCCGTGCCATTCGATGCAGCAACTGCGACTCTGTTTAGAATTGGATGGGGTGCTACCACAGGCCACACCTGAACCGGTCCTGTCCGTTCTGTAGAGGTGGCCACTTACCATAGGCAACGACTGCTGCTCAATTCAAAATCTAATGTAACCCAAACACTGACTGGCCTCATGTGCCATTCTAGAGTGGTCTACTCCAGCGCCGACTAGAACCCTGTGAGCACTCCACCTCCCATTTCCTTCATCTCTCCTCTTGTGGATTAGTAGTAATGCATACAAATGGGCATCATTAAGAGAGCAGACAAAATATAAACTGAAGATTTCAGGAAAAATAAACAGGAATATACCTCTGCCTTTACTCTGCCTCCTTTCATAGTGCAAGTGGGCTGTTGTGGCACACTGGGATGAAGGCAGCTCGCACTCAACCCCAATCAACGTAGCAAGCCTTGTACATGAGAGGCACAGTAAAAAGGGAGCTGCAAGAGCAAATGAAAGGGGTACCCCCAAGAAAGTAAAAGTGAACACTGAACAGAATTAAGAAATGGATTTAAAGTTTAAACGCTTCTATTAGATTCCATGTTGCTTTCTATAGAGGTGCAACTGTCTCGTTGTTGGATTGTCTCATCTCAAGGGCCTTTGTTGTCTGCAATAGGATTAAAGCTGCTTCGATCTTGCATCTACTCATCTGAGTGGAATAATGGCTGTTGTGGTGAAAATTTAAAACACACACACACACACACACACACACACAC